GTGTTAAATCCCAGCCCCCCAAACTGTGTTTTCTAAATACTATTTTCCAAAAAAATAAAATAACCAGGTTTCTTTTGGAGAAATGGTTGATTCTAGGTCTCACCGCAGGAAACATAAAATATCACTCCAGAAAAGAGGAAAGTACATAAAGTCACATTAAGGGAACTCAAGAATTAACCTCAAGAGGCTTCTTTCTACTGGAAAAATAAGGGGCAAGTTGAGCACCAATTTTAAAAAAGACAGAAACATAGTGAATATGCTTGAGTTTATGAGTTTATAATAATACATTCTGAAAATTCACTGGTTACTTCTAAAAAATATTAAGGGGCCAGTTCATTATTTTGAGAACCAGGAAATCAAAGGGAAATTTTAAGTTGTGTGTATTTGTGGTGTTGTGACATGTTCTGAAATACACATACATTGTTAAATGGCTAAATCAAGGTAATTCATAAATGAATTGCTTCACATATGTGTCATTAATTTGTAGTGAGAAAAGTCTATTTAAAATATATTCTTTTGGCATTTTCAAGTATGTAATACATTGTTACTCAGTATATCTTTTGAATTTACTTCTCCTGTCTAACTAAAATTTTCTATCTTTTGACTAACATCACCCCAGTCACCCCCACTTGGTATCCTGCTTACCTCCAATCCCCACTTCTATAATTTTGACATTTTTAGATTCCACATGTAAGTGAGATCATGAAATTTTGGCTTTCTGTCCTTAGTTTATTTCATTTAGTATAGTATCATTCACGTTGTTGCAAATGTCAGGGCTTCCCTACTTTTTAAGGCTGAGTAGCATTCTACTGTACACCACATTTTCTTTATCCATTCATTTTTTGATGGAACCTGGATTATTCTTTAGTGCCTGTTTTGAATAGTATGCAATGAATAACTGCCTATTTTTCAATTGCCTGATGGAACTATAGTTTGTATCACAATCCCCTTTATTGGGCATTTCAATGATGAAATGTTTTGTCATCATATTGCTGTTGTGAACAACACATAACAATGTTGGTTTAGTCCCTAACTGATAATTAATTTATTCTGATTATGTTTGCTTTTTCTTTCTGCAAAAGTCAATAGTATGAATGTAGGTAATACAGAGTACAACAATTAATCCTGTCAATATGGTTGGCTAGAAGACAGTATAACACACTTCCAGGTGAATCTGAGTGGGTCGTGGAGATGCGAACTTAGACCTAGATCTAGTTTCTGGCCCCTCCCTTTCTTCCCCTGATCTCTTCTCCCTCAGTGTCATGAGTTGAGCAACTTTCTTCTGCCATGACCTTCTGTTACACTGTTCCTGCTTGAAAGTTAGATGACCAAAGCTAAACCTCTGAAACAGGAGTCAAATGCTAACCTCTCCACTTTTAATTTGCTGGTGTTAAAAAAAAGTAGGTTGTCCCATGACAAAAAACAGACTAATACACAAAAGTTTCATTATTGGATTCTTTCATAATTGAGATTATGCTAGAAAGCTGCAACAAAAGACAACTGTAAGAAATAAAAGAATATTGGTAGGAATGACTGTAATTCTCAATGTTGGTGCCTAAACTGGGTATGAAAGGACATGAAGACAAGGAGAAAGTAATGGATAGAGTAGAGGGAACGAGAGATCTAAAGTCCTTAAGTACATTTCTCTTAATTGCAAAGAAGAGGAATCATAGCTCAAGCTAACTTTACAAGAAAATACATTGGCTCACAAAGCCCAGCAACCAGGTGAGCTTCGGGATTAGCTTAGGCAGTATCTCCAGCTCTATTTGGCTGGGATTCCTTTCCCTGTACTGTGTGTGTGGCTTTGGCTCCAGGAAGGCTTCTCCTAAAGTGATAAAAAGATAAAATGGATTTTCTAGTGAAGCTCCTCAATCTTGCTTCTCATTGGCACATGGTGGACTATCCATTCCTAAATCTATCCATGTTATCATAGGAGTGTCATCGCTGATTAACTTATTGTGTGCGTGGGTGGAGAAGGAGTGAAGGGGATAGAATTACCTTTGGATGAAGCCTGGCCACATTAGAAGTGGGAGTAGGGGAAGTCCTGAGACACATAAGCTTCATGAGAGGAGTAAGTTAATTAAAACTGCAGTGTTCTTAGGAATACCAGCAGTGTCCAGCACAGACACTAAGAAATAAACCTGGAATAACAGATTATGATGAGTGTTATGAGGAAAAGCAGTGGGTGGGGAGATGATACAGATCAGAGTAGGAGTTAGGGATTGGATTTCCGTGACTTAAATTGAATCCTAAAAGGCGAGTGGGATTTAGCCAAGAGATGGATGCATGAGAAAGCATTCCAAGTAGCAGAAACCATACATGCGAAGTTTGGGGAGGGCTCAGACTGCTGGAGGAACAGAAAGGTGATCGAAGTTGCTAAAGTATGGTAAAGTAGGAGGTACAGAGTGACAGAAGATGAGTGCAAAATCACGCATCTGCAATGGGAAGTCGAGTAACAGGACATGCTACTTGGGGAGCTTGGTTGAAGACAGCCAAGTATAAACATAGGAAAACTAGTTAGGAAGCTGCAATCAACCAGGTGGGAGTGATGGCTGCCAGGATAAAGACCATACCAGTAGAAATGAAGAGAAATGGATGCAGTTGAGAGATCTTTGCGAGTCATGCTCCATATGACTTGGTGATTGGTTGGATGTTTAGGCAAGGGAGAGAGAAGATGCAAGGGTGACTCCTAGATGTCTGGCTTGATCAACTAGATCAATGATGATACACTACTGGAATGAAGTGGTAGGAGGGCTGGAGAATGGGCTCACAAGGAAATTGGTATGGACATGCTGAGCTCTAGAGGAGATACCAATAATTAGTTGTGTAATAAATACTCAGAAGACAGAGCTAAGGAGAGAGAGCATTGCCTAGATTAGTTGAAGTGATATCAGAGGTAGTGGTTCAAGGACTAAACTGTGCTAGCGGCAGCCATGAAGTCAAAAATAGCTATCCAGATGACCCTCCTGTGGACATCAGAATCATCCATGATGGGGGCAAGAGTTGGGATGCAAGGGATAACTAGACAAGGGTGGGGAAGTCTCAGTGAACACAGAAGAATGACTAGGAAGTGGGAGCTGACATGGACAGGAGAATAATACTGGGTGATACCGAGGAACGGCACTGGCATCAAAGGGCAGGGGCTTCCAAACCTCAAGGTGGACTGCTGGTTCAGAGTACAGCCCTAGGGCCAAACTGCTGCATCTACGTTCAAATCTGGGCTTTCCCACTTAACTGTGTTACCTAAAGCAAGTTTCTAACCTGAGCTTCTCTTCTCCCTTTGCAAAACAGGGATGAATCAACACTATCACATGAAGTTGTGAAGCTGAAATCAGTCATCCACTGAAGGTCTTTAGGGCCTATTGAGACATTAGCTCTGAATTATTGGTGAAATGAATAGAGAGCAAGAGTAGCAACCTGGAGGTGGTAGGGAGGAGTAAAGAGGACAACAACCCTACTTTCCTACTGAGAGGCACTTGGCTGTGAGCAAACAAGCAGGCTCCAAAGGAAGGAGGAACTTCCAGAGAAAGCCATTTTCATAGACCACGGGTAGGGGAAGGGTTAAGTGAAGCAATGGAAGTATTCTGGAGGTTGGCTAATGGGGAGCAGAACTTCAAAGCAGCTGATGACCAAGTTTGTGGGGGAAACAGGAGTCTGAAGAGTTTCGCTTGAAACAGAAGCAGCAGCCCCGGGCATTAGGGGAAAATGATCAATTCAATCACCAACGTGAGGGAGGCTGAGTAAAGGCAAATCCTAACACTGGAAGAAAGATCCAGTGGAGGACAATGATCTTATCATTCTCATAGAATTCATCCGTAGGTCTCTCTTTTTTGGTGGACAGCAAGACAAGGTCCAGGAAAATGGGTGCAGAACAGCAGCCTCTGAAGAGGCACAAATAACACTGGGCAAGGAACAAGAGTTGGGTCATCCAGCATGATGGGGTGGCAGTGCTGGGGTAGACTTTGGCCTTTATAAAATACAGGTCTGCATGGATAAGCCGTTACTGGCCCATATGTCTAGCCATATGGCAGGCAACAAAATCCATCTTCCACACCCCAGAATCCAGCAGAGACCAAGAATAAAGCTGGAAAGTTTCAAGAGTGGAAATAGTATATTTTAGCAGGCAACCACCTTTCTTTTAGTCCTTTCTACTGTAGACTAGTAAGAAAGAGCACTGAACTAGCACCCAGGAGGTCTAGTTGAAAGGCTTCTGCTAGTCCACCTCTATGTTCGTTGGATTGTGGACTTCTGGACAAGTTATTATGAGCCTTATCTGGAAAATAAATGTAATAACTTTACCTTGTATACTTCACATAAGGTTTCAATGAGATAAACTCAAGAGATTTTGAAGACAGTGGTACAGTTGTGAGGACTGTGATTTTAACTTCTCTTCTTCATCCTATTCTGGTATCAGAAACATAGTCCCAGTTACCAGAACCCAGTTCAGTTCTTTGATCAATTACCTGCTCTCAGGTTTTCAGGTTTGCTGTTGCTTTGTTTGGTATACACAGCCCATCATTCAATGTATTTCCCTAGCAGAGCCATAATGGGCCATGTAAGGCTTGGGCTCATGGAAAGAGGTAGACTTGGGGCAGCAAGTACACTGTCCATGCTTCTCAGATGATGACAGGAGGGCAGCCCCATCTCACGCTTGCACAGAGCATAAACTGTGTCTGGCCAGCTTATGAGAAAAGAAAAGCCATGCACTGATAGGACTGAATTACCTGGATCCTCATCCAAGCGCTCCACACAATTGCCTGGTGGGTCTGAACAAGTCCCTAGCATCTAATAGCCTTATCAGGAGTCTTTTCTGGTTCCAATGCCCTAGATTAGTGCTGAGACTAGAATCACAATGCAAGCCACAAATGAATGTGTGATTTAAATTTTTCTGGGAGTTGCTTTAGAAAAATAAAAAGAAATGGGTGATGTTAATTTAATAACATACTTTATTGAACCTAACATATTCAAAATATTATCCTTTCACTATGTAACCAGTAAAAAAATACTGACATCTTTTGGAGTTTTTTCACAGAAGTCTTCAATATCTGCTGTATATTTAAAACTAATTATCTCAATTCAGGCTAGCCACATTTAGAAGGCTCCATGGGCACACGTGGCTAGTGGCTACCATCTTGAACAGCACACACCAAGAGTTCTTCATCTGGTTACCATGGAGACCAGGTCATAGAAGAAGGCTGAAAGATACTGCACCAAGCAGTCCAGCTGGCCCTTCTCATTTGGGAAACACAAAGAAGCTACCAGCTTGTATGTCACTGCCCCGCTCCAGTTCCACTTTCCTCTTCAGTCCCACCTGCCCCATGTCCACCATGTCCACCTCTGCTGGATGGCTGCTGGTCTCACTCACTGGACACCTAGATAGCTGGCCCCTATGTCTACCTTTTACCTGTGCCTTTCAGTCCTGTTCGTCTCCTTCCTGCCTGTCCTCTGCTCCTCTTCCTTCTCTATCCTCCTCATCCACCCACCTCCCTTCCTAGTTTGCTCCCCTCTCTTCTCTCAATGACCCTGACCCAGTTCCTTCCACCAGACTTTTAGCACTCAGGCCTTCACTCCTCCTCTCAAGACCTCAACCCCAGAGATGTCCCAGCTTCACTTTCTGATCCCCACTGCCTCAGGATTGGACGACTCTGCCACTCAGCTTCCTGGTGAAGCTCCAAACTTCTGGCTTCATGAGCCCCAGAAGCTTGCTGATAAGAGAGTTAATACGGCCAGCCCAGTGGATGAGGTACCTCCTGTGGCTACGGTTTCTCCCTAGTGCTTCTTATGCATACCGAACCTGACTATCTTTCTGCTGTCTAGATTGAGCCCTTTCCAATAGCACAGTTCTTATTATTGCCTGGATTGGCTGGCCAGACTCCATGGACCCTGGCATTGATACTTGTCCTTTATCCCTTACTGTGTTCCAGCAATGAAAGCCCAGCAACTGCTAGAAGGAAGTTATATAAAAACATGTAAATAAGACCTATGGCTTGCTCCATAGAATGACCATAGCCATTTCCACCCAGATCTCATTCTGTCCCAAGATATACAGAATGTTAGCAATGCCAAGCACTACTTCTACCTACACTTGAGATTTTTACTCCTGAAGGAAGAAACGAGTTAGCAGTGGATTCTGAACAAAGTTATATCAAAGTCTCCCTCTCCACCAATTCATGTTGTGAATTTAAGGATCCTGAGTGGCCCATATCCCATTGGAAAGGATAAAAGAATGAGCTTATTAAGACACCTCAACCTTGAGCTACAAAGTCTTCTGAATGTTACCAGAAGGAAAATGGTGGAGAAAAGAGGGGAAAGAATCCCATAAAGACCCTCCAGCTCTCCCCTCCTTCTCAAGTAAAAAGTAGGACAAATCTATTCCTGAGCAAATCAGAAGAGTCATTAAGAAACACGCCTCTGAGAACCTCTTGCTTTCTCTTTCATACATAGCCATCCTTGTGCTATTTGGGTCTCAGACACCTCAGGTTCCCTAGCGCAAAGATCTTGTGCATACAAGCAAAGTAGACGTGGAGAAGACCAACAGACCAACAAGCCAGTTGTTATGGGCAAGAGGCAGTAATGATCAAGTTACGTACATTTGCCCATGTCTAGAGAACAACAGGAAAAGGAAGCTGCCCTCTGCACATCTTGGGCTCCAATCTCCCTGACAGCCACATTGTGTTTTGATGATTGCTCTTCCTCCTTTCCTCTGCCCTTTAGGTATAACAAGAAAGGTGCTAGAAAAATTCATAACCAGTTCTTTTCCTTTTCTTTACAGTAGTTTGATATAATTTATTAATCAGGACACTCCATCCAAAAATAGAATTTAACTAGCTCTAGGAGATGTATATAATACAACAGTAAAAAGAAAACAAAGCCAGATGAGATGAAGTCAGGTACACAACCTGCAAATCCAAAGAACCTGTTTTCTTTTTTTAGAATTTTACCCTAAATCTTAGACCCTCCTGGAGGCCAGATAGTAATTCATTTGAATTTCACTTTATTTTAATTTGCCAAAATTAAAGAGAACCCAAATCAATCACAAATGTTTAGTTTCCATAAGAAATTAGTTCACCAAGGAATGTCCCTAGAAATAGCACCTGTGTTTTGTTCACCCGACAAGCCAGAAGGAGTTAGTGTGAATTTAGCCTGGCAAGCCTCACATCTCCCAACTATTTCAGGGAAACTTCAGAAGCAGGCATGATTTGGTGACCTCAGACGTGGTGCTGAACAGATGCATAGGAGTTCTCTCCTGCTCGGGCCCCTTGGGTTTTCTGAGAAGCTTCTCACCCTACCTCCAGGGGGCGCCTTTTAGACCTCCTACTGGTCTCTACTGCCTCCTCCAAACAGGCAGAAAGTAAGCTACAGAAGCAGTGCTTGAGGTGGAACACAAGAAGCCTGCTTCCCCTCTGTGCGTGGCCTTTGTCACTTGCCACCAAAGTTGGGCTTCCTGAGCCCCTATGACTCCCAAGATTTTAGCTGCCAGCCCCTGCCTGCAGCTCCTGTCCCTTTTGCGCTGACAAGCCCATAATGCCACTTCAGGACCGTCTTAGAGACTTGTTTTCCTAATCTCCCTTCCTGTTGCCTGCAATCCTTTAGGTGGCGCAATGAGGAGGTACTTTCCTTCAATGAAAATGTGAACAGAAAATGTGACTGTAGATGTTACTGTTATTGTATAATGGCAGCCATGATGAGAATCATCATTATATACAAAGATAATCTAACAGTGTCCTGAGTAGGACATCAATGTCAATGTGAATCCCTAGTCCACTTGGTGTGTATAGGCAAAATTCTTTAATTGCAGTCTGCCCTTCACTATTCTGAAGCTCTTGACTTAATCAAGTGGCTCTTCAAGATGCTGTCAGCTTTGAGGGTGGGAGAACTGGTCATACACCAAGAAGAAGCAAAGTCTTGAGCTCCTGGCTTTCTTCTCAAGATGGGGTCCTGACATAGACCAGCTGAGAGACATGACTCAGGGAAAGAAGGAGCAGAGGTCAACTACCAGGCTCAGGTAGGAACAAGGAAGCAGGGAAGGGGCAGGCCTCCCACTCAAAACATATTCCTAGACGTAATTCCAGTTGGTAAAAAAATCAGTGAGGCAGAAATGATGTTAAAGACATGCTAAAGATAGTGCTGATTTTGAGGGTGTAAAGAGACAGCCATGGGCTGAAGGAGCCTCAGAGCTCTGTTCCAGTTCCAGCTCTCCTGCAAAGCCCGCCTGATCTCCCCTATAGGCAGCGCTGACCCCTTAGCAAATTGGGGAAGGGGTTTAAAGTGGCTAAGGGGCAAAGGAGGATGGGATCCAAACTGAAGTAAGCAGATGCTCCACAGGATTCATTCTGGCTCTAGGCACTGCCTCCACTGAGAGCTCCTCAGCCATTTGGGGAACCCCAGCCCAACAGCAAATGTCCTCCAAGGAGAAGGTGTCTGTGGGACCAAGCCAGAGGCAGGACTGAAGTGAGGCTGTGTGTAAAGCTCCGTGGAGATGTGTGAAGGAGGATTGTGTGCGATCCATTGTGTACATAAATGCACAGGCTGAATGCATGAGGGAAGATGGTTCTGGGAGGGACCCATGAGTCATCCAAGCAGGGTGGGCCCAGAAGGCAGCTGGGCTCCTGAGAGGCCTGGGTAGGAGACAGATCCAGAAGGCATCAATATCCACATGGTGGTTAAAAAACAAACGAAACAGCATCACGTGCCTGGGATAGCAGTCTGAAGCACAAAGACAAAGGACACCTGTCACACACTTCCACTCCAGCCATCACTGCATTTGTCACTTCAGACGTATCCCCACACAAAGGGAGGAACTCCTCTCCACAAAGGTATGAATTCTTCTCTGTGGCCTGTAGGCACAGAGCTGTCCCACAGGGGCCCAGAACATGAGGCAGGGACGAGGAAAACCTGCGGTCCTGACTCTTCATTTAGCATGATGGGCAGGGCAGCAGGACATCACTTGCTTTACTCTGTTTTGGGGAGGAGGATATGGAGAAATAGTCAGGCTGAGGCAGCATGATCATAAGCTGAGTGTTGGGGCCCAGGCCTAAGGAAACACTGAGCATCTAAAGCAGCCTTGGTCCATACTTCCCTGACTCTGCCTTTGGGTCTGTTGCTTCCTGACACGTGTGTGGAAAGTGGGGCCCCTTGGTCTCTACAGAGGATGGAGGGTGCCAAAGGAAATGCAGCTGCTGCGGAGACCATCTCACCTTTAGCAGCTCACATAAAACACCCCCGCCCCGGGGAGGGGGGCAGCATTTGCTGCTTCCATTTTCCCTATTTCCAGAGTCTGATCCATGGCCACATGGCCTGAGCATCTAGCCATTATTCTGCAGACTAAATCTATTTCCCAAGAACAAATGTGTAAATCCAGATGTTAGTTTAGACCTGCTGGAGGATGCCTAGTGTCCCAGCAAGGTGGCAACAGGGTCACCTGGAAGAATGCTTCTTCCAAAGGAAAAGTCAGGTAGACAGACAGGGAGGTAACACTTGCATTCAGAGTTTGCTCCTGGTTCATGCTGTCCTTACTTTCATGGCTGAATCCACAGCTAAGACTTTTGAGAAAGGAGTGATAATCAGCATCAAAACTGTCCACTGAAAACAGGAGATGCCAGCAGTCACAAGAACAGGGGAAGAGTGACACTCAGTGGGGAGAAGGGTAACATCTCATTTGCATACTTAGCTGAAGTTGGCTTCCACAGTGAAGGCTCCAAAAACTCAGGACTACTGAGAACGCGAGGTTCGGCCACAAGGGAGGCAGTAGCCAAAGATATTAGGAGTAAGAGTGGGCAGTGGTTCAGATTTCCTGAGGGGCATATTCCTCCCCATTTTGTGCTTCTCAAGTTCTGTCCTATTCTTTGACATTGAACATAATCCCTTTCTCACTATTATGCAGACATAGCTAAATCTCTAGTCCTAACCTCTCCCATAACATCAGGCCCAGACACACAAATGCACAGATGTCTGTTAGATGCTACAGGTTCAAAATGTCTCAAAGTAAACTTATAATCTTTTGCCCTCTTGCACTATCTCTGCTTTCTCCTCGTGGCCTCAATTTTCAATGACACATGCTCTACCCAGTCACCCCAGGCTTTCCCTTCTGAGGAGTCTGACTCTGAAACTGCAACTGCATCCCCTCCTCCTCTGTGGTCGAACATCACCGTGTCCAACAGTGGTCTTAACTGCAGTGTATCCAAGCTCCAACTAGCAGTTAAGATTTTCACTTTTCCACATCTAAATGTCACCTGAGCACAATGTCCAAGCTTCACTCACACCTGACCCAGCCCCACCCCCCTCCAATCTCATACTCAATCCCCAAAGTGCTAAGAACCTATGGTTCCCACCTCCCCCTCTGAATTCATGCTTTTCATGGTGCTTTTCTGACTCTCTTCTCTCCTTTGGGACCCTTCCTGTTGGTCCTCACAGTACTCTACCTATCATTTTATTGTAGTCACTGACATCTGCTGGTTTCATCCATGGGCTCATCCCATGGACACTATCTATCAGAGATAACGTGGGTGAGGAAAGGTAAACTGGGACAAGGTTGAAAGTGACCTGAAGTTTGCTGGTTGTTGGGAAGGAGAATCTGGAGTAGGGGAAGGGATTAAGGAATGGCTTCATTCTATTGTAGGTAACTGCAAAACCCTACCTACACCCTCACATATGAATATAAAGTTCCTATCTTCAAGGTTCCAACATATCCACTGTTTGCCAGATACCACCTGAGGCCATGAAATAACCAGGGTATGAATGTCATCCCAATGTCATAGGTAATGTCATTGGGAAACCCAAGTCTCTGGCCAACATTTCTAAACACTCTCAAGAAGCAGTCCTGGAGGCCTCCTGTGTGTGTGAAGCCATCTCAATGGCCAGCACTGGGTCAGCCTGGGGACAAGAGGGCTCAGAATAAAAAGTTATCATGAACCTAGCTAGAATGTGGAATTGTATTCAAGTGTCTCTCGGTAGAGCACAGAAACTTCTTCTACCTCAGCCTTGGCAATGTGATCAGGAACAAGAGGGGCCAAAAGACAGGGATGAGTAAGCACGGGGGGAACCAAGTATGAGATGCAGGAATGACCCCTGGAAAAGAAACTTTTAACCCCCACTTCCTTAGCCAAAGCACTTTCACTGGAAGACAAATCACTTTGGCTACATATTTTTCTCAGTCTCAACCCACCCACATCTCTCAGCCATATTACTACGAAAATGGAAGCTCACCTCCAGCACTTTGATAATAGCCCAGCCTCACTCAAGGCAGTACAATCAATTCTGAACATCCCAGGTCCTTTCATCTTTAGGGATTCTTGGCTTCCATATCTGACAAAAGGATACTTTATTGAGTATCACATTTTGAGATCCTGGCACCTGAGTTACTTGTCCTAACATGAAAGGGAACTTGGTGGCGCACTGAAAGCATTTCAGACCCTGGAAACACATGAATATGGCTGAATTTTGCCTCTCTCATTTTCAGACGTGTGACCAATGCAGGTAACTTTGTCCGGCTCAATTTTCTCCTGGGAAATGAGTAGGAAATTGATAGCTATCTCCTACCATGAGGATTAAATGAGATAATACATACAAAGTGCTTACTACATAGCCTGCCAAAAAGCAAATGCTTAATACTGGGTCTTTTTGCTATCATTAATAATGATTTTATAGTGATGTCACTGTTGTTCCTACTCATTGCTAAGCTCATGGCGGACTACTCTTGGCCACTGATTTTCAGTTATGCCCGTCTCTCACCAGTCTCAAGGTTCTCCTGTGAGGATGTGCCCTGCCTGCGAAGTGCCACGTGTGAGAATCACCGCCAGGAGGATGGGCAGCGTGAAGGCACAGCAGAGTCTGAAATCACTACTTCAGGTCACTGATTTAACCCTAATCCCCTAACCCACCAGTCTGGCTCAATACTAAAAAAGCTCTTATGCAACAGCAGATATAACGATAGCCTGAGGATTTGGGGGCAGGGAGGGTAAACAGGAAAAAAAAAAAAAATTACACTTGAGAAACAAAGTGCCTTCAAATCTGAATCCTTAGTATTTGTAATTCACTTCCAAATTACCTGGATTTTACCAAAACTTCTCTGGATATACACCAAGCTTAAAAACTGGGAGAGTTCTTTCTAGTTTAGGTCTTAAGATCTTGGGAGATGTAAATAAACATATATCACTCTTTTGTTGGGGGGGGTCTCCTACGATGCTTTGCCACCTGCATGGGTTCTCCGGTGGGCACTGAAGTGGGAGCTGTTGTTGAAGTCTTTGCCACACTCTGTACACTTATAGGGTTTCTCCCCAGTGTGGATTCTCTGGTGAATAATAAGACTGGAGCTCTGGTTAAAGCATTTCCCACACTCTCTGCACTTATAGGGCTTCTCTCCCGTGTGAATCCTCTGGTGAGTGATGAGGTTAGAACGGTCCCGGAAGAACTTTCCACACTCTGCGCATTTGTAGGGCTTCTCTCCTGTGTGTACCCTCTGATGGGTGATGAGCTTGGAACGTTCGCTGAAGCACTTCCCGCAGTCTACACACTTATATGGCTTTTCCCCAGTGTGGGTTCGCTGGTGGTTGGCCAGAGTGGAGCTCTTACTGAAGCTCTTCCCACATTCAGCACACTCATAAGGTTTCTCTCCTGTGTGGATTCTTTGGTGACTAATGAGGGCAGAGCTCTTTGAGAAGCGCCTTCCACATTCAGAGCACTGATATAGTTTCTCACCTGAGTTGGTGCTGTGGTGGACAGGAAAGCTCAAGTTTTTTCCAACACTGTGAGATGGCTCAGCTGTCCCCTCTGTGGAATCCCTCCAGTGAGCACTAAGAGATGGGCTTTGGCCAATGCTCTCCCCAGTCTCACTATACTGCTCAGGACTTCCTCCCAAATGGACTCTCTGATGTTTCAGAAAGTTTGAGCTCTGATTGAAGCTTTTCCAACACTCCCCACATTTATAGGGCTTTTCTCCTGTGTGGATTCTCTGGTGGATGATGAGATTGGAGTGATCACTAAAACTTTTTCCACATTCAAGGCATCTGTAGGGCTTCTCTCCAGTGTGGATTCTCTGATGCGAACTGAGATTAGAGCGGTCACTAAAGCTTTTTCCACATTCAAGGCATGTGTAGGGCTTCTCACCTGTGTGGATCCGCTGGTGGGCAATGAAGTGGGAGCTCCTACTGAAGCTTTTCACACACGTGTCACATTTATAGGGTTTCTCTGCAAGGTACAGGCCTCGGTGATCAATGAGTTTTTCTAAGTCCTCCTCAGAAGAACATTCTTCCCACCGTTCTTGTGGAGGATTACCCCATACCCCTCCACCTTCATGTTCACTGTCTTCCCCCCAGTCATGAGGGGAGTAAACAGCCTCTGTAGTATATTTGGGTAAGGCTCCAGGTAAATCCTCAAAAATGTCCTGCTCTGAAACCTGGTCTTCATCCTTATGCCTCAACTCAAAACCTAAAAGAATGAACAGAAATGCAGTTTTTGTTCATTTACTAGTTACATTTATGTACCTGTATCATGTATCTGTGTCCTATAAATGTGGCCAAAATGAATCTATATCTTAAATTTCACATCTTATAAATGTAATTAATGTGAACTGACCAAGTTTTGGGGCATATATGCATTTCTAAACCCAAGCTCAGGAACACAGTCTAGGACATGGTGGCCCCAAAGGAGCCATGAGGCCCAGCACAAGCAGTCAGCCAATCAGTCTTCGCAACCAATCAGTAATGACTACCTCCTTCTTTCTTTTGGTACATTCAATAGACTCTATGTCATATAAGATTGACTCAATTCCCCAATACCCCAGATGTTTCCCATTAAAAGCTAGACTATATCATATGGGGAATAACCTAAAGACAATAATCTGAGCAAAACACAAATTCTTTTCCTGTTCAATCCCATTCTCTCTTTTAGTCCAGAGTCAAAAGATACTAAACCTGGCTCCCCACCTTTTCACATGCCTATGGATTTTGTAGACGTCTCATGACTCCAGGCTTACCAGTGTCTGGAGTTTTAGGGCTTGGGGTTGGAGGTTTGATGGCATCTTCATCTGCCACCTCACTCCAGGCCTCCTGGTCATCTGCCTCAGTACTGTTCTGCCCAGAACTAGGAAGACCTGTTGCCTCCCTGATAGTCTCCATGGCTCTGACCGAAGTCCGAGCCCTCATGAGTGAGTCTAGCTCCTCATAGAAGGGGCACGTCCCCGGTGGATGGCTGCTCTTGGCCTTCCGGTAGCTTCGAAGGAGGTTTTTGAATCGGTAGCGACATTGCTCCAGTGTCCGCAAGAAACCCAGTGCGCACAGCCGCTCTGCAATGGCCCGGTATACCTGGCTGTTCTGGTGACAGGTGCGAAGCTTTTCAGAGAATGGGGACTCACTGAGAATTGCCAGGAAAGCCTTGGTCTCCTCGTAGCCCCAGTGCACACCTGCTGTCAGGAGTGAAGATATGAGGTGTAAGACTTGACATCTGCCTAGGTAATCAGAGATCAGGGTCACCTACCCTTCTAACTCCTGGAACACAGGCATCCCAGAAACCGCCCAAATGTCTGGAAACATATCTGTCCTTCTCAGGACAAGACTAGAAAAGCCATCTGCCCCACCCCTTCTAAGAGATTCTATTAACACTTTACGGCTCACTGAAGGGAGGACTTACATGGCCATACTTGTCAGTTCTATTAGTGACCCAAGTCCCTTGGCTTGAGCTGTCTGGTAACTGGAATCCTTGAGACTTTCCCTATATCCAAGCAATATATAGCCTCTATCTTCTTTATTAATTCTCCTTTAACAAACTATGGAAGCCGAAAATCCCTAAAGACCAAAGATATGAATAGATTTCAAATAATTATGGGCAAGACCAACTAAGGATGCCCTTTCCTCTTATGGAGGAACAAAAAGAAGACAACCTAGTCTCAGTTCTAGTGCAGGCAAGTGACACCACCCAGGGAGGCAACAAGGGACAGGAAAACCACATGAAACTGGTAGACATGAGCCATGGGTTCTGTTCCCACCTACGTAACCTTAAACAAGATGCTTCAATTCTTGGTCTCCAGAGAGTTTACCTTTACAATGACCAGGTGTTTCCCACACATTGACTGTTCAAGTGTACACTCCCATGTTTTCTGCTCTATCTGGTCAGTATTTTATTCGCTGTCTTCTTTATCTAAATTTACTCTCTATGAAGTCACAGGCTGATGTACTCATACATTAAAAGAAACACATAATCAAAGCATTAGAAGCTCACTTGTGTGACACCTATGATCACCCCCAATGGTCCCTAAAGGCTTTAGAAATATTTGTTGTTTTAAGTAAGAAAACTTGACCAAAGAGACCCAGTCACAAAGAAGATGAGGATTCAAAGATGACCTAAGGAACTTAATGCTTTACTCTAGTGGCATCAATCTAAGGACCAGCAGCCTGCCTGGTAGGAGGACTTGAATCTGCACCTGGTTAAACCCCCATTTTCTTACCAATACGACTCTGGAGGAGCACTGGGCCACCTGCAATCCTGGACCCCTGGGCAGACGCATCATTAGCCAGGCCAGCATTATTGTAGTCTTCTGTCGTTTCCTCAGGCTCCCAGCCCCCTTCCTCCTGCTCATCCATCTCAGCATCACTATCCCCCAGCCTGGGGAGTGTCACAGCCTCTCCTGGGCCACCTGTGGCTCTCATAGCCGTCCGAGCCCTCACCAGGGTCTCCAACTCCTCATAGAAGGGGCATGTCCCTGGTGGGTGGCTGCTCTTGGCTTTCCGATAATTCCGCAGGAGGTTTTTGACCCTGTAGCGACACTGTTCCAGTGTCCTCAGGAAGCCCCGTGCCCTTAACCTCTCAGCAATAGCCCGGTACACCTGGCGGTTCTGGTGACAAGTCCGAAGCTTTTCAGAGAAAGGAGATTCACTCAAGATTGCCAGGAAAGTCTTGGTCTCCTCATAGCCCCAGTGAACACCTGATACCTTCATGTCTTCCACGTCCCATTGGTATTGTTCTTCCCAGGCCCTGGAGTCATTTAAGGCCAATACCTGAGCTGGTTTTGCAGATTCATTATCCAGGTTGTAATCAGCAGTACTCCTTTTCACAGAATCTGTAAGGTTTACATCCCAGAACTCTGGTCCTTGCTGCTCTAGCTGGGAAGTAACACTTGGTTTCAAAACTGAAACTCCTATACAAAAGAAAGAAGACAAATGATTGAGTACAAATGAGCTACTGAGCAGGTTTGTCCAAACTGTCCCTGAACTTACATCCTTTCCCCGAAAGAGGCTGATGACAGAGTCTCATGTTATTCTGTCAAAATGCCTGGACAGTTAGGGAAAGGAAACTAGACATAACACAGTCCTCACCAGACACAAGACGTGATCTATGTACTTTGCTCATTTGCTTTTTTATTGTTATTGTTATGAAAATATCCCAGGAAACAGTAACTATTATTGGTTCACAGACAGATACGTGACCTAAATTCACCCAAACAGACTTGAGTTTCATTGTTGGGCAGGAGGGGGAGTGGGGGCAGATGACAGTATCTTAGGAAATTTGTGACCACCACTGCCACTAGTCTTTCTTGATGCTAAGTTAGCATTTCCAGGTCTGTTCCTTTAAACACTATTCCCCAACCCAGTAGCATGTGTAAAAAAGGGATTCAACTGCCAAGAAAATAGCCAACAAGCTTCTAGTATCTAACCTGACTGTGCATCAGAACTGCCTAGTCTCTATTTCACCCCATCCTTGTGCCTAACTCTCCATACAGTGACCCCAGGGTCCCCAGGGAAATGGCTTCTTAGTTTGGCTTCCCATGCAGATAGGCCTACAGAAAAAAGGAGGCTGTGCTGATTCAGTGGGCTCAAGTATCTTGAGGCCTGTGATATTTATTTCTCTCTGTGGTTTAATATGTTGGTCTGGTGGGCTTAGTTCATGTGAATTGCCCCTGAGAGGCAGATCTCATTTGGTACAAAGAGGCCAAATTTCTTAGGCAGAAGCAGGGCCCAGCTTCTGGTCCTGGTGACTGTCCTGAGGCAGTGAAGGTGATAACCTCCAAGGCGGCAAGCTCTGGAAAGCTATTTTGCTATCCCCAATTTGAACCAACTCTCTTCTTACCCTAACAGTGCTGGCTTTAAAAAGCAAGTCTTTCCCTACCTCTGAAATTCCAGAGAATGCAGAGCTATGATTCTTAAGGGAGTAGCACAGCACTCCATAGTAACCAAATGTATCAGAAACTAAACGTCTTCTAATCTATCTAAGGAAGGCCATGCTTTCCTTACCTAGACACATGCTGTTCCCACAATCATCTCCTGTGGGCTCCTTGCAGAATTCTTTCTCATCATGTTTGCCGGGGCCCAGGGCTTCCTGTGACATACACAAGAGAAGGATCTTAAATATCACTGATCTCTGAAAACAGCCTGGGAAAGCTATAGGCCCTAGAAAAAGTGGGGGAATGTAGGAGTGCGACAAGAGGGGTTAGCACCACAACTTGCAGCATGACCAAGGAAGGGCCCGGCAGACTGGGGTAGGACAAAGGTAACACTCTATGCCTTATGCCTGCCATTTTGCTGGGGGGAGACCATGGAGTGAGGAAGAACCCTGGAGAGCAACAGCAGGATAGTAGTAATAGCAAGAAGGGAAGAACAAAGAGCAGCTTACCTGGGACTCAGCTGTCATCTCCCAATCTCCAACACTACCCATCTTTGGAAGAGTAGGGACCCGAGGAGTAAGGACAGCTGAGGAAAAGAAAAAGTCTCTGAAACTCAGGCTCTGGTTCCCAAAATCCACCTCCAAGATCCACCTTCCCAAAAGTCACACTTGGATGAGATTGAGGTTACCCCACCGTCAGTGGCAGATCTCCTCTTAATTTCCCTTCTAAGGTAGACTGGGAGGCTACACAAGTGTTTCATCAAGGCTGCCACCGTTCCAAACACTTTTGATTCATAAAGAGATAAATTAGGTAAAAGTCTTGTGACAGACAATAAACAATAACTCAAAAGCATAAAATATAGGCTGTTTACCTTTTAAGTATTTATAATCTGTAGAAGAAACGAGTGATGAGACTCAATAACAATGTTTACTCTTAGGTAACAGAGGTCGCAAGCCTGCCTTGTGTAGCATTTGCGAGATACCTGCCTTAGACCCCGGTGATTAACACCCACTTTAGTCCCAGCCTGAATCTGCTGCATCTGCTGCTCCAACTGGCATCACTGGGAACTCCCTCCACTTTTAAATGCATTTGTTACCCTACTTCTCAGAAAGTGTGCCTGTCAGACACTATCCTGTCCTTTGCCTTGAACTCTCCACATCCTTCTCCCCATGTACACTTCCTTACCTCTCAATCCTCTCCCCTGGAGGAAAAGCTTCATTCTCTACCGTTTCCAGATTCTTGGTACTCACCACTCTCTTTTAAGAGGTACGATGCCATCTTGGCGTTTAGATGCTTAGGGATGCATGAATCCTTCACCCATTGCTTCTGGGACTGTCTCTCAGGCCTGTGATCTGGCGGCAGCTGGAAACGCTGAGATTCTTGTGCTGCCTTTAAGGATTTAGTCTCTTCTGCACACCACTCTAGTTCCTAAACACAAATGGTCAAAATTCCCAACTGTCAGTTCAATAAGGCCCACAATTAGGGCAGGGAATAATACTTTGAGTATAACTGCGGACCAGGGCTTAACGAGCTTGCAAAGGGCTTCAAGTGTAATGAAGAAACCATCAGACTGACTTCAGTAAACAGACCGGCATTTATACCACCAAATGAGTACTATCTTACACAACTCTGGGAGACCATAAAGTATTTCAACAAGGCTGCCACTAATCAAAACATTTTCAATTCATAAAAAGATAAGTTACATAAAATTTCTGTGACCACAAAAAAACAAACAATTCATAAGCATGAAAAATAGATTGTTTGGCTTTTAGTACTTATAATCTATAGAGGACTTAAGTGACAAGACTCAACAACAGCCTTTACTTTCAGCCCCAGCTTCTCCAACTGCTCCATCTCTAAACAAATATTCTGATTATATGGATGGTAATTGTAGATAAAAATGAGGAGGTAAAATTCAGTAGAACAGACTTTTTGTTTCCAGTTCAGCAAGCGTCTTAGAAGTTGCCGCTCCATCTTAAGAAGTAATAAGCTGGACAACCTGAAAAGTCAACATTTCTTGAATCCATCAAATGAGGTCACAAAGTATACTGCTGCTCTCAAAACTGGAGAAATTAAGACAGGTAGATTCAGAGAGTACAATTTACCACAGCAGAAACCTATGGGAACTGGTGTCAGAGTCAGAAAAACTAAATTGTAATTGATGAACTGGGAAATTGATATAACTGGGAAAATCTCAGTATGGACAATCCTGAGAGTTAAAAGAACCAGGAGATTCAGTCAGTCATAGGGAAGGGGGAAGACATAAAGAAAAAATGTAAAGGGAAAAATATACCAAGTTAACACTAATCAAAACAAAGCAAGGGAACTATATAAATTCCATACACAGCAGACTTCAGAGCAAGAAAAGTTATCAAGGATTCAAAGTGGCATTACTGGCACACAGAGAGAAGCCACATAAAAAGAGGTGCTGAGAAGGTTACCATCTGCCAGGCCAAGGAGAAAGGCCAAAAGAAACCAAATCTGCAGACACCCGGATCGTGGACTTCCAGTCTCCAGAACTGTGTGTTGTTTAAAGAAATTAATGTATTAATTAAAGTGGCATTACAAATGATGCATGGGTCAATACTCCAAGATATAACAATCCTTAATACAATTAATTTTTCATACTCCTCTAACAACACAGCATCAAAATATTACATGTAGGCAAAAACTGACATAATGTAAGGAAAAACAAATTAATTCACTATTATAATTAGAAACTTTAAAATCCCTCTATTAGAAATGGAAATATTAGCAGGCAGAAAATTAGTAAAGGCACAATTAAACTAAACATTCTGGGAGGGGAATTAGACACATGAGTCGGGTAAAAGAGAAGAGACATAATTGACATAAATGAAGTCATCCAACAACAGCAGAATACACATTTTTCTCAAGCGCACACAAAATATTACTTGCCATACAATATTCTGGGCCATAACACCTTAGCAAATTTCAAATAACCGTGGAATTGCTCTCAGAAAACAGTGGAATTAAATTAGAAATTAGTATCAGAAAAATACGTAGCTAGAAAATCCCCAAATACTTAGAGACCAAAAAACATATATCAAAATAATACATGAGTTAAAGAAGAAACCTCAAGAAAAATTTTAAATATTTTGAACTAAATGAAAATGAAAACACAATTTACAAAAACTATGAGATAGAGCAAAAGCAGTGCCAGTGATAATCAGACTAAGAAAATAAAGATTGAAGACACAAATCACTAATATCAGAAATGACAGTACATTACCACAAATCCCAAGGTTCTCACAATGGCCAAAATACACACATAACACCAAATGCAAGGTTATTAAAATGATATTAAAGGAGTATTATAAATAATCTTATACCCATACATTTGATAATCCTGATGTAAAGGACCAATTCCTTGAAAGTCACACTCTACTAAAACTCACACAAGAAGAAAAAGATAATCCAAAGAGCTTTAAAGATTGAATTAATAATAAGTAACCTTCCAAAACAGAAAACACAAGGCTCACAGGTTCGCTGGTGAATTCTAGCAAACATTTAAGGAAAAAAATTATATCATTTCTCTGTAGTCTCTTCTAGAAGACAAAAGAGAAGGAATATTTCCTTACTCATTCTGTGGGGCCATCATTACTCTAATACCAAAATCAGACAAAGACATTACAATACTACAGACCAACATAGATGTAAAAAAAATCATATGAGTACATCAATAAATATAGAAAAAGTATTTGACAAAATCCAACAGTCATTTGTGATAAAAGCTGTCAACAAAGTAGAACTAGATAGGAGCTTCCTCGACATGATCAAGAACAGCTACAATAATCTCACATCTAACATTCTTCTTAATGCTTAAAGCCTAACACTTCTCCCAAAAAAATGTGATTAATATAGTATCACAAGAATTTCGATTATTACAAGTACAGAGTAAAGGGTTATGTTAACATGAAGTTTACAGGGGGCTGGCTTAATCCACAGCCAACTAAAAGGACCTGTTCTACATATGCTGGGATTCAAAATCTGTCAAAGTAAAATTATATATCACAGGCCTTCAGGGCTGCTCGTTAATTGTTCAAATTGTACGTGCTAAATACACAAGATGTTCACTCCCTTTTTCTCAGCTCTGGCACCTATATAAACCTGAACAAATTAAATTACTTACCTGTCTTTGTCTGTTACCTCACTTGAAAAAGGGCAATGATAATAGTATCTACCTGGATTGCTGGGTTGATTAGATGAGGGATACATATAAAAAGCTTAGAACATGTAATCTCAGCACTTGGGAGGCTGAGGCAGGAGGATCACTGTGAGTTCGAGACCAGCCTGGGCTACATAGTGAGTTCCAGGTCAGTCTCAACTATACAGTGAGACCCTGTCTCAAAAAAACCAAAAAAATAAATAAAAATAAAAAAATAAAAAGCTGAGAACAGTGTCTGACACATGAGTGCTCAAAAGAGTCAGTTAGTACCTCATTTGGGGGCCGGGGATTTAGCTCAGTGGTGCCGCCGCCTGCCTTGTAAGCACAAGGTCCTGAGTTCGATCTCTGGTACCAAAAAAAAAAAAAATCATTTGGTATTTTCCTTCCCATGGATGGCAGGTGAAACATCTTTCTGAAAGAATAATGACTCTGGATCCTAAGGGTTAGGCTCTGGTTTGCTCACCATGACATTTGAGAGCCCTCTGACTTTTAGAGCCTTAATCTCAAAATTGGGGAAAATATTACGATTTATATCTATTTACATTACTGTTATGAGCATCCAAAAAGATAATGTATGTAAAAAGATTGCGTTACACATTAAAAATAATACAGATTAACCATACTGTTCAGTATGGTACTGACAGGCACTTTGGAGCAGTGGCTAACAGTTCAAACTGCTGGAGCTCAAATCCTGGTTCTTCTATCTCACATCTGTGCAATCTTGAACAAATTACCTCTTTTCTCTGCCACTGTTTCCTCATTAGTAAAATGAAGATAAAGTACCTATCTCACTAAATTGTTTACAGGACACAGTTAATACGTAGAAAGCAATTCTAACAGTTCCTGCTTTAGTGTAGTGCTCAGACAATGTTACTCAATAATAATAATTACTATTATGATTTGGGGTAATTATAACCTAATGACAGCTCTCCTGCCTTGCCTGGCTGGTTTCTTGGAGAGCAACTATTGCCTCACCCGCTGCTGGGCAGCTTGGGCCTCTCGGTGCCAATCCTCCACCAGGGCCACAGCCTCCTCCCCATTCTCAGGGTGGCGCGCCTGCACCCAGCTCTGCACTTCCTGGGGTAAGATGATTAGAAACTGCTCCAGCACCAGCAGCTCTAAGATCTGCTCTTTGAGGCGGATCTCTGGCCTCAGCCAATGACAGCACAGAGCCCAGAGCTGGCTGAAGGCCTCATGGGGTCCAGCTGCATCCCTGTATTGGAATTGCCTAAAGCGCCGACGGGAAGCCTCAGGACCAGGGACAGGGTCACAGTCCTTCAGGGGTTTGGGTTCTGATCCCCATGAGTCCTCTTCCAGTTTCACAATCAGGAGGTCATCAGGCTCTGGTGGGGGAAATGCCTGGACCTCAGACTCCAGGGCCACAGCCATTGTCTAGCTTGGATGTCTCACTTCAGCTGAGCTGTCCTCATTCAATGACTTCTGGCATCTGTGGTGTGTCCTTCAAGGGGCTTCTGAGAGGCAGGCTGCTCCCCAAGGCTGTCAATGCAAAAGAACAAAAGACAGAGTGAGCAATAGGACCTAAGAGCTTCATTTTACGTGCACGTGCGCGCACACAAACACACACACACACACACACACACACACACACACATCTATACCATCCATTGCCTTTGCAAGGTACAGAGGACTTAGCAACGTGCCTTTCCTGTAGGCAGAGAGTGAGACTGCAGCCTGGAACAAAGCAAGCAGCCAGCTCACTCTGGAAAAAGAAAGCAGTGCTAAATCCTTTGGGACATGCCTAAACACCTCAGCCTAGCATCCCAGACCTCCAGAATCTGGCCTTGAAACCATGATCTGGACCTGTGGCCTTTCTTTTCCACATGTCCAAAGTCTGTCCTTCCCTCAAGTTGAGTTTTAAATATCACCCCCTCCATAAGGGCTTTTCTTCTAGACCTTAAATTTTGGGTGCTTTCCTTGCAAAATCCCTTTCGCATTCTATGCTGTCAGTCTTTCCACGCATTTGGCATTATTCACCATCATTTTTTTTATTAGTACATGTTTACAATACATGAAGTTTTCAATCATCTTAGAGAGTTGATACATGTATATGACATCTCTTGATTCTTTTTTATTCTCCTTCCCATCCCCACCCATCTCCCTCCCTCTGTCTATAAATCCCCATTCCCCGTTTTTATTATTACTTCATATTTATGACCTATAATGTTGACAGTCATTATGCATATTTGATACATGCACATAACACAACTTAAATCTTTTTACTTTCCCTTCTCCTCCCCTGTTCCCTTGCCCTTGGTCTCTTAGACTCCTTCCCATTTGCAAAATATCTAGCTCCCTGTTTCCTTCTATCAAATCTTTATTTTGCCTTACTCAAGTGAGAGACACCACATAGTATTTAAACCTTGTGTATCTGATTTATCTCACTTCACATTATATTTTTCAGGTATATCCATTTTCCTGCAAATGTCTCGAATTTATCCTTCTTTATAGCCAAGTAGTATTTCTAGTGTATAAATACTGCATTTTCTTTAGTCTGTTGACAGACATACGGGCTGTTTCCAGGATTTAGCTATTATGAATTGTGCCGCTATAAACATCAATATGCATGTATCACTGTAATATGATGTCTAACTAATGACTCAAAACTCCAGCCAGGGTTGTCTCCACTCTAACATCCAAATACCTGCACTTCCACTGAGTATCCTTTCCATAAATACGACACTTTCATTAGGTATCCCTCAGGTACCTGAAACTCAATGAGTCAAAAACCGAATCTATTTCTCTTGCCAAGCTGTTCATCTTCCAGGGATCCGCATTCAGTGAAGGTACCACCTTCTGTCAAATGGCCCACACCAGAAACCTGGCCATCCTCTTTCTCCAAGATGCCCCACAGCCGCTTTATCACCTCTTAGCATCTGCATCCCCATTGCTACCACCCTAGTCCAGAGAATCACCCTATCCTGCACTTGATTAGCCTGCCTTGATTTCCCTTACCCCAATCTCCAGTCCACTCATTGCACACCAGATTAGATCAAAATGTGACCACATTACTCCCCTACAAAATACCTTTCAGCGATCTTTTCACTCAGGATAAAATGCAAACACTGCCCAAGTGCTCAACTTCATCCCTTTATCGCGCTCCCATTGGTTCAGGAGGTCCAACTACACAATTGCAGTTCCAACATTTAACTTGCAGAACTCTCCCACCATGCTGTATTCTCCTTTGCAGTCTTCTCCCTTCCTCACCTAGCTAGGTCTCTGAAATAACTTCCCTGTTTCCTGAAAAAAGATTCCATCCTCAGACACGAACTTCCACACCATCTTATGTTTTCTCTACCATAACCCTGACCATTCTTCATTGTAATTATCTCATCCACTACATCATAAGCTTCCAGAGGGATCCAGTACAGCGCTCAGCACACAGAGGAAGCATTCAACAAATAGTGAAGGCATGAATGATCAACTAATGATGCTGTGTCATGAAGCAAGGACTGGGACTAATCACTTTCTATGCACAGTAGATTTTTAAAAAGAATAAATGACCTTCCTGGTCATGCCAGAAGGAATTCTTCTCTTCATGTCCATTTCTCCATGACATGTAACATTTTCTGTGTTGTATAAGAGGGATGCATCTACATGTGTCCCCAAGGAGATTACAGCCTCCCTGATGGTGCCCATGCTGGACTGTCTGAGAAAATAAGCTCTCTGAGACAAGTTAACATGACATAAAACATACCCACTCAAAGAAGGCCACAAGCTGCTTCTAAGTGGCAATAACACAACTAAACTATGAGTGGAGGGAGGGTAGCATTTTGCATTTTAGGCTATCTGACTGTCCTAAATGCCTTCACATACTTAGGAAGAGGCTGGGAGCACAACACATGGCTACCAGGCAACTTCCTGATCATCCTTCCTGACCAGCCCAAAGGTTACTTCCTCTGATAAGTGTCTTGACACACTCATGTCATGCCCTGTGCCCTTCCCTGCTCTCCAAAAATTGCTTCCCTAATCCTTTCTTCCTTTGTAATGGCTGCTACATACCTCTAAAATATATGCTATCCTAAACTATTATAGTTACTTATTCCTACATCTGACAGCCTCATTACACTAGATTGAAAGAACCAGTAATTATCTTACTCTATCCTGCATCCGGTCCTCAACTCAATATCTGATAGCAGGGCCATTAAAAAATGAGAATCAAGACTTGCCATGTAAAGGTACATGATCCCAACAATGAATGTAACTGTACTGTATCCCTAAATGTACCAATAAACTCAATAAAAAAAAAAAAAAGTTGTGTTGCCTTTTATTAAAATGGTGAATCCAGTATATCAAGAGCCCAATGGGCTATGGAAAATACACAATGTGTATTAAACTAAAGAATTAACCTTTTGTAATTTTTCTTTAAACTATTGCTTTACTGGTGGACTAGACCAGATACATTTGGTCTGGCCCAGTTTACTAGTCATTCACACAGTATCCAGTATGTACTCCACTTTACCAAGAGCTACAGACCCAACAGTAACTGGGACAAACAATCCCTGTCATGAAAGCTACAGTCTTATGAGACAATGAGTAAACAAATGAAGAACATCTGTTTTCCTGCACAGAGAACAGTGTGTCAAAACAGGCAATAGCAGTCCCACCAGGTCCAAAGCCCAGAGTTTCAGATAAAAGGTATCTTCCTTTGGGAAGACCCAAAAAGTCCAAAGGTTAGTTTCAAATAGAAATCAGAAAGCCTAGGGACTCTATGTCAATCTTTTCTACTCCTTCCTTAAACAACATGGATAGCAACCTACTGTGAATAGAGAGGTCAACACAGTCAGCCACCATGAGGTGGCCATGAGAAAATGTCATTCCTCAGTCCTGAAGCTACCAGGAAACCCAGGCCTCACTAGGATCAACAACCTTCAAGAGTAGACTCACTGAGTGCCAGGCACAGTGCTAAGTGTTCTACACTGGGATTCTCACCAAATCCTCCAGGCTCCAGGTAAGTAGAGTATCATTTGTGCAGCGTTGCATTTCACTGACCTGTATCTTTCACTAACTGCAAAGACCAGAAAGGCAAAAGAGCAAAATTTAAACAGCACAGCCTGTTCTATTCACCATGTGTCTGTTCAACTGTGAGTACGTGGTGCTGATATCCATGACTGTGCTATTCCCCAGTCTGGTCTTAGTTCCCATAAGTGTCTCTTTCCACTGAATGTGAGTGAACTGTCTTTCATACAGTACAGTCCCTAACAGTCCAATTCTTTCAGCTAATGTTCACACAAGAAAACCTGACTGTGCTGGTTAGCTTACTAAAAGCAAGTGTGTTACAACTTACTAAAAGTAAGTTGTTCTGAAATGGCTCCTTGCCAAGAGAGTTGCAAGCTGCAATTCTTGGCTAAATGTGAGTTTCACCTTCTGGGCTCACTTTAGTTATATAATTAATAATGTAGATACATGCTCAGTTACATATAGAGAAACTGAGATTCTATGAAGATTCACTTAAGATTATACAACTAGCAAATGGTAGTTAGAATCCTGGCCAAAACCAGTATTCTCCACTTTGTTTACATCATAGAGCCTCCTCCAGGTCTGCTAGTCATCCAAACTTCTGGGAACATGGTACACGAGAGGGGAAAGTACATTAAGGGGGCTGGGGATGTAGCTCAGTGGCACCATGCCTGCCTGCAAAGTATAGGGTACTGAGTTCAATACCCAGTACTGAGAAAAAAAAAAGAAAAGAAAGTACATTAAGGTAGGAGTAAAAATACTAGGGTTCTAGTTCCACTCTTGCCACTTATCAGCTGTGTGACTTTGGACAGTTCAGGTAGACTACCAACTACCTATTTAGACAACAGCTTACAGCCTGACCCTACTCAGTAGTCACTTAGACTCCCTAGTTAGTATGATGTTAGTATAGAACAAGAGGGAAGGGAAACTAGAATCAGTGGTTATGAGTTTATATGCCTACAGATGAAATGCAAATGAGTATATGTGTGAAGTGAAGTGGACAGGAGCTGTGAACAGCTATAGGTCCCAGGAGGAATAAACACCCAAAGTGTACCCTGACCTTCCAATGTTTCCAAAAGCTAGAACTGTGAATTTTTAAATGTTGGCAACCAACTCAAAATAAAGCATAATGGCTGAAGTCATTCCCAATGGGCTGCCACTCTGTGACCTTTTAGCTAAATGATCTTAAATGTCTCTTCCAATATTCCAGGAAGATCTAGAAATAATACAGAGCCCACCCCAAAAAGATGAAGAACGGGTGTTGACAACCACCCAAATCAGGATCCTTTTAAAATCACAGAGAAGCTGAAAAGTATCTTGACTCCTAAGGCTGTGAGTATGGATATGGACAAGGGGAGCCAACCCAGTGTGTAGAATGGCAAAAGAAGATTCTCCCCACACCCAGTGGAAAGGCCAAGACTAGTCTGTGGCCTTTAAATAAAAAGAAACTGTATGGTTCCCAGTGGCTCTCAGACCCACTTGGCTGATGACCCAACCTATGGCTTACAGCAGGTCAATCTCACACATAAGGATTCAAACTACAGAGAGCAAGTAAGTTGCTTAAAGCAGGAACTTCAGTCAAACAGAAGTGGCTGTCTACAGTACTATGCTGAGGAATCTGAGTTCCAAATGAATATTGTACTTTAACAATAAACCAAGACTGTCAGGCACATAGGAAAGGGAAGTGGAAGTATATATTCCAAGTTACTTGCCATGCTTAGTTTAAATCCCCATTGGCTCTGAATTGGCAAACAACTCTGGAAGGCAAAACACTGAAACTCATGCCTCTGGAAAGCCACTGTTCTTCACTCATAGTACAGTAAAGCTTACTCTAATGGTCTCTAATCACACATTCATCAAGTATTTACTGACTTACTTCACTTACATTAAGTGTGTACTGTTTTGGACTGGGCAGTGAGGAAATAAAGATGACTCACACACTGTACCTATACAGTGATCCTCAGTCTAGTGGAAGAAATTTTTTTTAAAATCACAAGATACTTAAGATAGAATGTGGTACAGAGAGTAAGAGAAGTTATGGGAGCTGAGAGTTAGAAATGACTTAATCTGCTTAAGGGAACTGAACAATGTAACAGTTGAGTTGGTACTTGAAGGAAGAGTGGGTCTCTTAGTAGAGAGCTGGGGAAAAGGTATTCGAAGCAGATTAAACAGTATATATAATGGTGGTAAACCAAATGGCCTACCCAGAAAATAGGGGGGAAATGGATATCTCTGGAGCACCATATGGATGAAGATTAGGCTACAAAGGGGTCTAGATAGAAAAACTAAGATGTTTGGATTTAAATCAACATGTGATGATACGTTTATAAGAGGGAGAAAGCACAATCAGATTTGTAAGTTAAATAGATCACACTGGCTGTGGTATGTTTGCCCATGCTGTGAAAGTGCAAAGGAGACTTCGACAAAACCCAACATGAAAGGGTCAGAGTCAAGACATTAAACAAAGATGTGAGGATCCATCCATGTGGAAAAATGGAAGAGGGATCAGCGGATAAAGTAGGTAGGTAAGGTAAGGGGGATGACAGTGTCATTCATTTCCATCAGGCATAATGAAAGTGCATGTTTGGGGCAGCACACAATAGCCGGTGCCACCCACTGGGTGCTAGAAGTAACTAACAACCATTAAAGAGGCTATCAAATTAGGCATGTTTGTTCTAGGCGGGTAGGTAGGCAATGAAACACTATTTTTAAGAGCTGGCTTCCAGTTTAGGCCTTCACATCTTCACTTCTTGCCAGGGCCCTAGAACCCTCTGTCATTCCCTCTGTGCTTTCCAGACTCTAAGATGACTCTCCCGCCTCCTAAACCTCTCCCTGCTCACCTACAGACCTTTCCTAAGACCTGCCTCATTCCCGGGCCCCTCTCCCCTTCTCTCTCCTCATCCCCGACCCCTCTATGAACCTTGCCATCTCCGGACGCTGCATCCTCTGCCCGCCCTTCACCCTCCACCCCCGTATAGATGCCTCTTTGCCCCTCTCACCTTCCCTGGCCCCCTGTGACACCACCACCTCCTAAGCCTCCAGCCCAGTGCCTGTGTCTAGGCTGCCCCCGCCGCCACCCGGACTCACCCACCAAGACACCCACTTCACAACAGGGCGGAAGTGCTCCAGGGCGCGCGCAGGGAATGCTGGGACGCGGAGTCCGGGCTGCGCCACCCCGGGAACGGGGCTTTTGGGACTACAACTCCCAGAAAGAGCCGCGCGAGTCCGGTGGGTGGCTCCCTCCGTTTGCAACCTGTAAGATAACATCAACCAATAGATGTGTCATCTTCTCACAACTCTGGCACCGGGACGAATCGGACTGGGTTCAATGCCTAGGGCGGGACCTGTTGAGACCTGGACCCTTTCCGTTGGCTCCGTGATAATAGCACGGCCCAATGGGCGGACACCAGAGTGAAGGAGCGGGGCCTATTAAGGAACGCAGAGAGAGCAGAAACAGTAAAATAAAGGAAAGAGGGTGACTAGAGGTGACTAGGCTGGAGGCCAGGAGACAAGCAGACAGTTGCAGCTTCGATCTTAAAACAGCTAAATTGCACGGATTTGGATGAATTTTAAACCTCTCTTTCTTCACTGAAAAATAAGGACAATAATAGCATCCATGTCTCTGGTTTTTTGTGAGGTTGCAATGAGAAAATAATGCTAAAACAAATCGGGCCCAAATCCTAATAATATGCAATGAATGTTAGCCATTATTATGTAAATCAATTTATATAGAACTTGACGAATTATTACAGAAAAATCTTGCAATATGCCTTTGCTTTGTACCACTGTGAATACTTTGAGATATGAGCAATCTGAGGTTGAGAATGTAGTTGTCACGAGGATCCCAACTCTAACCCACCTACTTCCTAGCTGTGAGGCCTTAAACAAATAATTGCATTACTTTTGTCTCCAATTTTCCCACCTGTAAAATGCAAGTAGTGTACTTTGCAGGAAATTGATAATATAGTAGCTACAGATGATACATAGATGATATAGTTAAAGCCTAATCTCGAGTCCAGCTGCATGTGTCTGAGACTTACTTTAATTAGGATGTATGTTTTGCCCACGCACTGATGGTGAAACCTTGAGCAAATCACTCAACCTCTTTGGGCCTCCATTTCCTCATCTGGAAAATGGGAATGATAATAACAGTATCTTCCTAGTGCGATTGGTGAGAGGAATAACTGGGAGGAAGTATGTAAAGAAAAGCTCACCACTGGCTACAGTTATTTTTATTAATGGCTATGAAATTGTGAGCAAATTGATAGGGGCCAAACCTATGGTAGGGGCTCAACTACATGTTAGCTAGTGTTAAAATCGGGAGAAATTTGTATTTCAGTTTTAATAACCCAGTTGAAATTCCTTTTCTTCTGTGAACCATGTTCCAGAGTATTTATAGTAACAGCTCATGTGGTTTCACTCAGTAAACCTAATAGCAACCTTGCTGTTGAAGTCTCACAACAGCCCTATGAGGTTAGTATTGTTTCCCCAATTTCCAAAGAGGGAATGGTGGCTCAGATGAAGAGACTTCCTTAAGATTATGGAGGGAGTAAGTGGCAGGGTTTGAACTCCTCCGATGCACCTCTAAAGATTCCTCTCCTTCTGACACTTCATGAGTAAGAGATTACGGGCAGAGAAAGGACAGGGCTTGGGAAGGGAGAGACAGTGCAGTTGTATGAGGCACTAGCTGGGTTGGAGACATTTGAGAGAGTGTCAGGATCTAATGTTGGGAAGGCAGTTTGGTAGGGTTAGGTACGGACTTCCACTTCAAGCTGCCCTGAAGAGGAGGGATAGAGGTCCTCCGCGTAGAGAAAAAGAAAAACACTACGAGGACTCAAGAGGGCGCCCCTCACCCTATATCCAGCCTGGAACTGTTCTGTGGTTTCCCTTGGCCTTCATGTTATTGAAGCCTGGCTTACAGAAGAGGAAAACTAAGAAAGTCACCCAAGAGGCAAAGTGTCCTGTCCAGTGTCATACAGAAATAAACAATAGAGCCTGAATCAGACCTAGGTTTTTGCCGGTGCAGCATCCATGAGATTTTGGTTTGTAAACATTCCGTCCAGTTACTTATCAGAACCCCCTCTCATCTCGGCCACCACTACACACCAAGTATATAGAGATGAATGAAACAAAGCTGGTTCCTGTCCCCAGGCCTTGCTATCTAAACTTTCCCAATCACGCATTCCCATAAGTAAAACTTTCCCAATCAAACACTTCTAAGAGTTTGGAAGCATACACTTCAGACATCTGTGCATTTATTTTATGGTGCACATATAATATATTTTATTGAATATTTGTATGCATTATTAGGTCCTGCTGCTCATGCTTTAGACATATTAGCTGATTTAATCCTCACAAAATCCTTTTAGGAGGGTGTAATGCTTTCCCATATTACAGAACAAGAAACCATGGGACAAAAAGATTAAGTAACATGCCAAATCTACACGGCTACAAAGCAGATAGCCTAGTTTTAGAATAAGGTGAGGTTTTTTTAAAATAAAGAAAAATGAAAGTTATAACATTTTCTTTCCAAGGGCTCATGGATCACCCTGTGCACCCCACTTTGGAGACCACTGCGCTAGGGGCTTCCAGGTCTGTGGTCAGTACTGTGCCACAGAGAGGGGCAGAAAGTTGAGAAATCCCTAGGGAAACAGCTATTCTAGGGCTGGAGGCCTGGGAAGGTTTCCAGAGAAAGTGATGGCTGAGCTGAATCTTTAGGGATGCTTAGGAGGCTCCCAAGGGGGAAGGCAGTCTTCAGAAAAGTGTTCAGAGTGATAGTATTGCTGTCATGCTCAAAAGTATAATAGATGTGAACACAGCTTAATGTTCCCACTGGGGGTGACCAGTCTGCTGTCTTCTGGCCAGCTTTTTGGTCCTCAGCCACCAACCCTTCTCTAACCCCAGATTACAGAAGGGATCCTTTGTCATTTACAGATGTGGTTGAATTTGGCCTCGTCCCAAGTTCCACAGTTTAGGAGTCCCCAGAACCCACCTTCCTTCTTTCCTTCTCTCCATGCCTCATGAATCCTTCCTGCCTTATTTACAATTTCTGTTTCAGCAGTCCCTTTATCTCGTGTCTAGTGTGGGTTGCAATTTTTTAAAAAATTCATTGAGCCAAGCACCTTGTAGATTTAATAATGTACTGAAGATAATAATGTACTGAAGACCTTGAGATCGCCTAGCATACCACATGGCCACTTGCCATCTTCCAATTTTCTCACTCGGCCACTGGAGCCTCCCAAAGATGTGTTCCCAGCATTTGGTCCTCCTTGCACCCACAGCACCCTAGAAATTGTGTTCAACCTCACAACTCACTCGCGCATATTTTATCCCAGCCAGTGTGGCTGATTTCCCCCACCCCACTTCCAACGCATGCGCCCCTACCCTACCTAACCCAAGCTTCCCCAGCCTTCTCCTCAGCCAAGCCCAGAAGCCATCCTCCTCCTCATTTTCTTTGGACCACAAGCAATAGTCTCAACGGAGCAGCCAGGCCAGTCTATGGTAGCGAGGGAGCTGGTGGCAGGAGATGCGCTCCAGGAAGACCACCAGCAGCACTGGGGGAGGTGGGCAGCCAGCAGAAGGGAGGTGGCCAGGTGGAGCTCCAGGTGGCAGAGAGGTGTGTGCAAGGCCTGATGACTCAGCACACAGAGTGTTACTCGGCTGCCTGCTATACTGTCTGCCACATTATCGACCACGTCCTTGCCTGGCTCAAAATCTCGCTCAGGGAGGCAGGGGCGCAGTCCCTGGCCAGCGGAAGGGCAGCCCTCCAGAAAGGGCAGCAGCTCCTGCACCACCCAGTCTTGGTCTTGCCCGCAGTGTGGCACAAACACATCGTAGAGGAACCTCTTGACCTCATCCCTTCAACCCCTCAGACCTTGGAACCAAGCCCTAGACAAGGCCTGGAGATAGAGGACCCAGGAGCTCCTGGCTCCCTAGAGGTGGGGCAAAGAAATCAGCAGAAGCAGCAAGATAGAGCTGCCCAAAATGAGTTCCAACTCCAAGGTCTCAGGGCAGGGGCTCCAGAGAAAGGGGAAAATGGGATTCTTGGATGAGTCCCCTACTTCTAAGTGGCACAGCTGATTTCTTGATATGCACATGTATGTTCTGGGGGACTGCTTCAGCCGGGATCCCACCCAGGCATTGGCACACTGGCAGGCCAAGGACGAAGACATAATGTACATGTACTGAGGCATTTGAGGACTGTATTCCCACAGGCTGCCATCTAGCACAAAGCCATCCTCCATGTCTAACACAGACCTGGAGACTGCTAAGGCCCTGGAAGGCAGCAGCTGACAACGTCTCCAGCCCCGTATTGGCCAGCTGCAACACCTTAAGCCTGGGCAGCTCACCAACCAGCTCCTCCAACCTTACTGAACAGGGCTGGAATTTGGACCACAGTGCCTCCAGCTTCAGGTCCTGAAGACTGGGAAGCCCTGTGATGCAGCAGGGCCTGGGGCTGTGCCCATCCCCCCCCCGTACCCTCAGGGACTGGAGCCCAGGGAGTGGCCAGAGGGAGAACCTGGAGGTGTTCTGGAAGCAGAAGGCCTCCAAATTACTGCCAAACAGGAAGAGTTGACGAAGGGCAGGGAAAATCTTGAAGATGTTCTGGGGCTCCAGCTGCAGTCTCCAGTCTTTTAAAGTCAGGGTCTGCAAGACTGGAAATACATTGGGTGGTAACTTCCAATGCTTCGTGCCTGAGCCAGCATGAAGCTCCAAGCTAGTCAGCATCGTGGGCAGGGACAATGCCATCCCATCAGGGACAGAGGGAAGATGTAGCCTCAGGTTGTTCAGACTCTCTGGACCCCAAGAGCTCCATGTTGAGTTTAGCAAAATTTGGGTTTCCAGCAGACTGAGGCTGGTCAGTGCAGGCAGAGAAACCAACCAGCTCTCGCTCAGCTCTACCAGTGGATTTTTACTCAGGTCCAAGATCTCTATCCTCCCTAGGCCCTGGAATACTTGTCTGTCCAATAAAATCAGCTGGTTTCCCCGAAGAATCAGCTCCTGCAGGTTGGGCAGACAGGAGAAGGTGGCTGGGAGCAGGGTACGCAGCTGATTCCTGAACAGATTCAGGGTCCAC